TATATCATCAGTATGTGGACTTCGGATTCAATACATTGTTGAAAAATTTATGCCAGAAAAGCAAATCAGTGTTTCTTGTTTTCAGTAAATTTTGTTGTGAAGCTTTATATGAAAAAAAAATAAGAGAGTATTTATGTCTTTATCAAGTAAAGTCTTCTATACAGAGTGGAATATTTTACAAACATACCTTTTAAAAGGTGAAATGCAAAGCAATTTCCTTCTTCTTTTTTTTTTCACAGTAGTTATTTAAAAAAAGTGAACAGGACATATCAGGAGGTGCTTCCTGTTTGTGCAAATAGATGACAAGTTGGCTTTAACCATCTGCAAGAGATAACATTATCTAAAAATCTTAACTGCATGTATGTATCACTTTCGAGAGGATTTTTATGAAGCCTTTCATTTCTTTTGAATGTGTGATTCAAAAGATTGTAATTCGAAATTGTAATGTGATTAAAATATGTGCATATCTGAAGGCTACATAACTGGATATTTGTTAATTGTCCATAATACAACACTTTCATTTGTGAAGCTTTGGATAAGAAGTGCTTTTACAAAATATGCCATGGCAGGTGTGTATGTGGGAAACAGGTTGAGCTGTTTTTCCAAACAGAGAAGATTATCTGAAAAGAAGAGGCATAACAAGATTTTAGCAGGCTGTAAAATCAGAGACATTTGCTAGCTCTAGATATTTCTTCCTTATTCTTTAGGAAAGGAGGATACTTCTTTCTTGTAAACAGAATTGTCCCAGACACCACTAAAAGAAAAACCAATGACGCCAAGGGGAAAAAAAAAAAAAAAAATCAAGGATGTGACTTCAGAAGGCACAACTTCTGTATGTAAAGCCTTGGCAGCTATCCAGGAGTAAATCATCAATATGGCATTTCCTTAAAACCTTTTCTGTAATGAGGAGCTGGTCTTTTCCCCATTTCTTTAGTTCACTTCATTCATAAATCTCATTCTTTGGTCATCTAAACTTGTGATGCATTTGTTGTCTTCCTGTAACAGAACTTCCAACATCACCAGTGTTCTCGTAATCCATTTCCAATAGTGATTTATTAGAGACCAGTAAAATTACTTCCTTGGTATGTTTGTCTCCCATCAGGCAGTAACAAATAACTTAAAATCAACTGATTCACCCCCCTCTGTGCTGCTTAAACTAAAGAAAACTTCTGACTTTTTCTAAAAAATTACAGCATAGGATTAAAGGGGCGAGAAAGGCTTATGGGCCTTTCTTGGGTTTGTCTTGTCACCCTTCTATTCAAATAATTAATGAAGTGGTGCTTTTGTCAAATCTTTTTCCTGATGACATGTTAAAGACTGTTGTGAGCAGAGATAAGGGCCCAGGCACCAAATTGTGCACAGCATTTTTATGAATCATAGTCTAGAATTTTTCTGTGCTCCTCATTCTCCAGCAGTACACCTGCACTGGCTGCTCCCCGACACCAAAGATCAGGACCAGGAAAAATATTGCCTGAGATAATCTCAGTGCAAGATATCCCAAGTCTATCAGTTGTGGAATATCTCTGGATACAAGAGATTTCAGGCATCCTCCTTATGCAGTGCTGGGTCACGTTAAGTCTCAGCCTCTGAACCATGTAGTGTTGAACTTAATTCTTATTATAACAAACTGCCAACCAGAATCACAGAAGAACTGCCTGGATTTCACTAAATGGATTAGACTGGCACACACTTGTCATTGAAAGTGCTGCTCAGGAAAGGAAGTTACACAGTGGACTCTGAAGCATCCCCACTGCTTATTGTTTTGAATAGTTTCAGAGCGTTTTGATTAGTAAGAGAGCTTTGTTATCTGAGACAAGGCTTCTGTGGAGAGTGAGGAGATTGGTGTGAGCTCCTCAGTGCTGTTGGGTGCTGGTGCTGAGGGTCAAGTGTGATGTGAAATGCTTAAATATGGTTTGCTGATTTCCCAGGAGGGAGTCTCAGGTTGTTTAGAAGCATCACTTACATAAATTAATCAGACTGGATATCTTCATGTGAAATCTTCCTGACTTCTCACAAGTAAGTCTGGTGGCACAGTGTAAAACCACTTCACTACAGAAATGATCATGAAATTATGAAGGGGAGGTCTGCAAAATAATTTCTGTAAAGCAAGAATGAATAGTGGTTTGGAAATCTCCTTCTGTGCATTTTTTTAAACTGGAATTTGTGATATTAAGATGTTAAAGACATTATTTGATGCTTGGTATGGCTCAATTTAAAATAGATCTTCATGTTTCTGCTATGATAGTTAAGTTTGTCTGAAGGTCTTTGCACAGTCACCGTCCATACTGTAAATCCATAGCCTTGATCTCCATCTTCTGTGGATTTAAGACATTAGCTGCACTTCCCAGTTTTCCTTTTCCTTTATGAAACTAACCACATTACCAGTTCCATAGTTCCTGCTGCAGTTCCTTGAATCCTGCTCTTTTGAGCCTGACCTTGTGGATGTGTGTCATCTAATTAGAAGCAAGACTGTGAGGAAAACTGTTTTCTTTCAGTTAAGATACAGGATCCTCATGCACCCAGTTCTGGTGAAGTTTAAAATGCTACACAAATGAGAAGTGCACCACAATGTCGGGATTAATCCTAACCATCAGTGTTCACAGACTATTAAGTGCTGGATGTTTTCCTCTCATTAATATAGTTAAGAACTGATACATTATGTTTACCACAGTTTCAAAAGGTAATTTAAATACTTGATTTTGATCTAATTTGTCTAGTCTCTTTTCTCTGGGAAGGGATCTTCATGTGAAACTCTTTTGAATGCTTCAGTCAGCTGTAATTTATTAAGGTATCTGCTGTAAACCTTCAAAACTAAATAGTTATATTTGTAAAGAAATGGAAGTTTTCATTGAAAAGAATGAATTCTGTGTATGTTGATGCAAACTGTATTGTAAGCTTAAGATAAGGAAGTAGACAAGTCTGTAGTTTCAGGTAAGAGAGCACAGGACAGAGAGGATGCAAAACCGAACTGGAATAGGCAGCTCAGTATTGAAGCTCAGGGCGCTGCTGGAAAGGTATGTTTATTTTGGTCTTCAGATACACTGAGATAAAGGCATATTAATGTATACTGTGTATTTTGTATTTGATAGACATTATTGTGCATGACTTTTGGTACCTCAAGGGAATGTGTCATAGTCCTGTTAGTATTTTTACCAATTCAATGTGAATGACTTGTGGCACCATTACTTTCTTCTTCTCAAGTCATCTCTAAATAGTAAAAACAGGTAAAGCAGCATTATTGCACTGCTCTCACTGAACTGTAGAGCTTAATAGACTGTGAGAAATTCAACGTTCAAATGCAACATAATTCTGAATTTTGGGAAATTATAGTTGGGGAAGTACAAGATGCGATTCCCCAAGTCCACAAGGTAGTGCAGTGATGTCAGCAGAAGATCTGATCCCTCTTTCTCCTTAGGCTTATGCTCCAAACCAGTTCTCCTTTTTAGTACATAGTGCTGTTTGACTAACATGAGACTTAGACAGAATCCTTTGATCAAAATCCCATGAATGTTAAGCAAATATTTTATGGGAAATGTAGACGCATACTTTCTAAAATTCAAATTCACTAACGGTGGAATCTGTGTCTTGAAAATGGGTGATGGCTTCTGGCTATTTTACATCTTCACATGTAGTCTAGTATAGAAGGGACTAGAATATTTCTCAAGCTGATGTTTAAAGTTTCATGCCTCTTCAAATGTTTTTTTTTAAGTGTGCCATTGTACTGCCCCCTGTGGTGTCTGGACTGGTCAGGTCTCTTCTGGACAGAATGGAAGGAAACAAAGGAAAGGGCAGGAATGCTAAATTTTTAAATTTTTTTTTTGTGAGCACATTTAGCTGTTGCTGATCTGATTGAGCAGAGGGTATTTAATGCTCTAAGCGTACATAAAGGCAGGAAGAGCACTCTGAGAGAAGAAAAGAGAAAACTCTCGTAAGAGGAAGGCCTTCTGAGAAACAACGTTACTTTACTAAAATAGAGCCACTAGAGGAAGGAAGGCCATGTCCTATATATACAGAAAGGGAGGGGGATCTTCTCCATAGTGACAGGGAGAGCATGGGAGGAGGGAAAGGCCAACACAGGCTTACACACTGCAAAAGATGTTTCAACTATAGAAAAGAGAGATTTGAGTTTGCTCTTACCTGCTCACAGGATCTATGGGCTTTGTGTGATACAAAACCCCTTCCAAAAAGTCCATTTAAGCTAACAAAATGAGAATTCATTATTTCTGGACAATTACAAAGCTTATATTTTAGTATTTCTTCTTTATGTTCCAAATATCTTACAAGAGTTGAAGCTTGGTTGTTAAGAGGAAGTTTCAGTTCTGTGACTTGCACCATACCTATGTTACTGATGTGTTTTTGCATTATTACTATGTAGTTACAAGATGTTTTGGCACTAGAACATGGTCAGGTTTTGCAAGAATATTTCATACACGGAAGTGAGGTAAATGTGGTGGGTCTGCAAGTCACACCAGTGTCACAGAAGTAGTCACTTGCATGGAAGTCCCAGGTATCCTGAAGGTTGGGTTTATCCCCAGTTTCCTGATGTGATTTTACTGATGCACTGAGAAGCCACTTTTGCTGTTTTCCCTCACTTACTTCTTGTACTCTTTTTCCCTCGTTAACTTCAGCCACCATTTTGTAAAATATTGCAGGACCTGCTGTTGCACCTCTTGCCAGGCGAACCCCTGTTAGTAAAGACAGCTGTCTTTCAGCCTCAGAAACCTAGCACTGTACTAAGCCAGATCTATCCCAATGGATCTGAAACATCCTTTCCTCCTTCTGTTAGCACTTTTCCTTAATTTTCAATGATTACTTCAATTAATGAGTAAAGAGGTAACCAGTCCAATTTTTGCTTTATAGGAGACTACAGCAGTTTTTGTTGTTTAAAATAAAGTACTTTACTTAAACATCTGCTTTCATATAATGTGGTATGGATGATCTTCTTGTTTAAAAAATTTGTAGTTCTTTTTGCACAGACTGACAGTAGTGTCTGCTTTCAGGGTGGGATGATTAACTGGAATAGACTGTTTCCTCCTTTACGTCATAGACAGAATGCAAATTATCAAGATCACCCATCTGAACAAGGCATACCTCCACCTACTGAGGTTTCTGAAGAGCAGGTAAACACTTTGTATTTTAAAATGGCATTTTAAATGGTTAGGAATTAATCTCTACTCATTTTTTTATCATCTGTTTACACAGTTTCTCCAATGGTTTCTATAGCAGCAAAAATGAGAATATAAGGTAATGGCTGCAATACAGAGACAGTGTATTGTCATTACTATCCAAACCAGAGTTACAGAGCTACATGGGAGTTTCTACTTTTATGTGTTACTGCTTGTATTTTGTATTTAAAGATATTGATGGTTTCAGTAGTGGAAACTATTCAAATCTGATAAAATAAATGTTTCAAAAAAAGAATAATGATAAATAAATTTCATTATTTGTCATGTAGAAATCATCTTCGCTGAAGTCCCCAGCTTAAGTTTTCAATTCAGTCATTTTGGGTTTCTTTCAATAAAAATGTTATGCCAGCTGTGGACTGTAAAACACACTTGGGCTAAAATTTGGATGTTTCCCTCAATAATGTGGTCGACTAATTCCTTATACTGATACCACACAGAAGTTTATGTCCTTTCTATCAAGTATAGATTTAGACTTCTAGACTTTTTTTTTGATTGTTTTAGTCTCAAAAGAGATGATTATTTACTCAGAAATTTAAGAATTTAAGTTCAGTCTTATTCCTGCATTCAGGATTGATTGCATGTAGTCAAGTTCTCCAGGTTGTAGCCTACTTACAGTTAGCTGTATTGGCCATTTTATGGTTTAAGGTCTCTGTTACACTTGAACAAGATTAGGTTTCTTTCCTTTTTTTCCTTTTTTATAAGGGGATAAGTCAACACTTGGTAGCAGCAATGTCATTTTTAGTTTAAACTGAGCTTCTCCCAAAAGGAAGTCTTTTCTATGGTCTGATTTCTAGCTTTGACTGGTGTTAGAGTGTGTTCAAAATGTTCAAAACTTTTAACTGTACTTCTGACAGCAAACTTGCTAGGCTACATCTAGAAAGGGGGGGGGGGGGGGGGCAGGGGGGGGAACCCAACAACAAAAGAACTCCCAAAAAATCAGCAAAACCCCAACTAACAAACAAAAAGAAAATAATAATAAAAACCCCACACCAAAAAGCATATTCTGAGGCAAAGCCCAGAAGCTTGGTTTTGGCTGTCCTGAAAGCCTACCCAATGCCAGTATGGGATGGGCCAAAAGATTTCCCTGCTGGTTTGGCTTACTTCTTTAATTATTGGCAAATTCTGCTTATGGGGACTTCTGGTTTTGGGCCAAAACTAATGAAATAGTTGTTAGTCTGGATTCTTAACCAAGGCTCAGATTTATGAAAGCAATACATCCTTACATTTTCTTGCATTAAGGATGTAGGGCTCACTTGATTGCTGTAATTTGCAAGGCTCTCTGGTTCCCCTGCAAAGAAGAAGTCATTAAAGCACCGTTGGTTTTTCATGACTCTAGTAATAATGACACAAGTTGTCTTAAAATGGCAGAAATGCAAGGGTTTGATCTGTTCGTCACATTAAATTTTGTGAGCATTTGCAATGCTTGGGGTGCAAAAATCTCTGCATTTCTGGTGGAGTTTTAGCACCTTTAGTTACTGTTGCCAGTTATACACTGTTTCCTGGAGCTAGATTCATTTCCTGTAGTTAAAATATGCTCAGATGAAAAGAGGTTTTTGTTACTACTATTCCCTGTGGTGCTTGATGAATATTTCTGCAAATAGGAACGTTACAATTCCATCCACCATTTCTTAAAGTTAGAATTCATGACAATTCGAATAAAAACTTTACTTCTGAAGTATGTTTCTGTGGCTAGCTTTTATTCCACTGCCTGCCCTTTTCTCATAAAAAAACCACCATCTTAGATGAAAAATAAGAGTTACAGGTTACTAAACTGAGTTTGGACTTAAATTGTTTTTGCGGAAGTGTCAAAAGTAACAATTCATTTCTCTCCCTACAAGAAGGTGAAAAAACGTGGCAGTGGATTGTAAGGTTGGTGTTCTGACATCCAAGGCAGATGTTCTCAAATGTGTTGTGGTGGTGTATTTATACTAAAGGAAGACCTGTGCCTCTGGGCAAACTTGGCACTTGTGTATTTCATTTCTCAGTAAGTCACCAAAGCAGAGATGACTAAAAATACTGAAAGTTCTGGAGGTGTCTTAGAGGAAAGAAAAGCTGCTTTTGGTATCAACTTTATTTTAAAAATACTTTCAGTGCTATTGCTACATATTGGTCTTGCACCCTGGGAAAATTCCTCTTGAGATGTGTACAGCCTCTTCTGTGTTCCTGTTTCACTCTGCTGCTGCAGGCTCACTGCAGGCAGAGGAGGAGGAGTAGCAGTAGCTCTCTGACAGCTTCTGTAGCCCAGGACTTCCAGGTTCAGGAGTTGTGCTGTCTGGTCATAAGACCCTTTGAAGCAGGATGAGGAATGCTTTATGCTGCCAGTGGCCGCAGTTAATTTTACATGCCATTCCCTGCCCTCCCACACCTTGTTTTTCCACTTATAGAAGATTAATTATAAAAGTGAATGAGTTATATTGTGACTTTCAGTCATACCAAAGTGAGACTTATAGATTTTAAATGTACTTTAAATTGGCATTTAATCATAAATTAAATTTGCATTGTGTTTTTATACGTGGTGTTTTTAATATCTGTTAACACAGAGCACAAAGATTAGGTGTCAAGTACGTGATATTATAAAGAGGGCTGGTCAAGTGGTTATTGATTTAACAAAATCACTATCTTAATGTGCCCTTTTCCATGTTTTTCTTCCATCAGGTGTCATTGATTTTTGCTTTGCAGAGGTTTTTGGCCAAAAAAAAATTGCTTTTTTTGAGTATATGTAGAAGCCCTCCAAGAATTTTACTAAACCAATTAAAGTATTGTACTGCCTCTACGTTTGGACTAACTTTAAGGTTTATTTTAAAAAGCCCAACACCTGGAATGAGTAGTTTTGAGAAGTTTTTTTCTGCCCTCTGGAAAAGTAGATGTTTTCAAGGAAAAGAGCTGAATATTCATTCTGGATAGGTTTTCTCATCTGTTCGATAATTCTGTGTTTTGGTCAGTGTTAGTTTCTTGAGATCCTGTTCTTGTTGAGAGCAGCAAGTCCCAAGGTCAGACTGTAATGTTCTTGTCTGGTACCAGACTTTGGATTTTACTTTTCTTTCAAAACTGGACCAGCCAGGAAAATGCAGGTGCGGCATTTTCTGCAATCAGCTTTGAATTAAGTGGCGGAAAGCAGTCATCTCTGTGGCAAGGTTTTGAAGCACGCTGCCCCAAATAGGTCTTTGATCAGTGGATAAGTAATTTCTGACAATATTGACTAATGTGCACACAGTGTGAATAAAACTCTGGTTTTAAAGTGACATTACTTCATTTCTTTTCCAGGTCGCACGACTTATGGAAATGGGGTTTTCCAGAGGAGATGCTCTAGAAGCTCTGAGGGCTTCAAATAATGACTTAAATGTAGCCACTAATTTTCTACTACAGCACTGATGGTTTTGTGTGTGAAGGAACTTCGCCCAATGGGTTTGTACATGCCTGGGAGAGGATCAAAGCCACCTGCTGGGCAGACTCACCAAGGTCAGCCAGCAAGAGCAAGAGAGACACGGCTCCACGTGACGGGTGACTCAGAGCGATGTTAAGAAATGATGTGAACTGTTCCCAAGCCTTCGGATCACTTGGTGGTTTCTAGTCTGGTTGTCATTTTCAAATTAACTTTAGTTTCTACTTGTTACTGGCTATCACCTAAATTTATTTTTAAATAAAATAGGTGATTTTTTTTTCTTGTAAATCTTTGTTAGACATTATCAGACTTAATGACTAGGAAAAAAAAAAGCTCCAACAACTACAACAGCTAGATTCACCTGTCAAGAAAGATAATATTTTCTTCATTTACAAGTCTAATTTCTCTAGCTTAAATGTTATTTTACAGTACTTGATTTTTTATTACAGTAATAAAAGGTTTGAAGATCACTTAATTTTCAAATCAGTAAAGGGTTATGGGACTTTTATGTCATTCTTTGCAAAGTTTTGTTAATGCCTGTAATATTTTATTTCTCAAATTTCTCTTTGAATAAAAGTTGTCATTCAGCACATCATAGACAGATAAGGTGAGAGAAAATTAATGTGTGTATGGTGAGCTATGGCAAGTGACTGCTGTAAATTTGAATTTTTACAAACTGAGTGAATTGCTGTTCAAATACGGGTCATGAAGATACTCACTGGAAGCAATAAAGGTGAATCGAATGATGCAATAAGATCAGAAGTGGAATGATTGACGTGAATGACTTCCATGGCTAGCTCAGAGATGACTTCTGTAACAATGGATGTATGCAGTGTCCTATGTGCTGCTTTCAGTTTTTTTCAGCTGGCTACATACTGTCTTAAAAGAAAATTACAGAAAACTAACTTTTCTACATATAAGTCTAGTTTTCTAGTGTCAGAGATGAGGATGGCCCTGCATTTGCTGAATCTTCGGTGTCTGGTCAACTTAGTGTTGACCACTGGAACATTAACGTCAGAAGTGATCCAGGCTGGCGCAGGAGGCAACAGGACAGAAGTGCCAAGTTTGTGCCATGCTGGGTTTGAAGCTTAGATTGATTCCTCAGTCAGCTTGCTTGGCTTGACTCTCAGAAGTGCTCGGTATTAGCACCTTAGGAGTTGTAGGAGGTGGAGTGCAGAGAGGGGAACATCTCTATAAAAGCAATCTGAAGGAATACAAGATTCCAAAGTGCAACTCTGTGGAACCAGTCTACACAGGTATCTTAGCATTTCATGTATCTTTCTGTCTGTACTTGTGTGTGTGGAGCATGTGCATATGTGTCTGTTTATATACAAACATGCATATTTAATACATGCATCCATTTAGAATAAGGTGTAGGTCATAAGAAGTGTAACAGAGGCAATAACAGATGTATAGGGGATGTTTTGGAAATCTAGATGAATACTGTGTATCTCAGCACAGTGGTACTATGGTAGATTGACTGATAAAACTAAAAAAAGTCCTTTGGGCATACATGTCGTTATCTAGAAATTGCATCAAATTTATGCAGCTTTCAGCAAAAGGCATAATTTTTAATTAAGTCAGTTTTCTGTATGGATTTCTTTGGTATTTTGCAGTGGGTTTAGTAAGGGGATTTTGGAATGACAGTGTGTTTTCTTGGGCTTTGATCAATCTCCTTCAGGGTTTGTCTTGTTTCTGTGATCATATTATTTAGGCAGGGTCTACTTCTTAAAAAAAGTTGAGTTTTGTTTGTGTGAAGCTGAAGCTATGTGTGTGTGTAGACCACAAACACTTTTGTACCCAAGGAACTCTGGAAACCTGCTGTTTTGGAAAGCCAAGGATACTTGTAAGAAAAAGAAGTCCTACCATAACATGTCTATGCAGACTACTTAAATGTTTTGAAACAAGTGCAGGTTTTAATTTTGAAACATACCGATTCTTCCTTCACAAATATTTTATCCAAAAATAGCAATAAATACTGGTAAATTAATTCAGAAATCAAATTTTGTCTGTAGGAAATGAAATACCTATCCTAGATTAAATAAATGTGCCCTTTTCAGACATTGCCCTGCTGTAGGGACAAGCACAAAGAGTATTTATTCCTTGGAATTTTAAAACATGTTGAGTGGCATATGGGGTATGTAAGTGGATATTCTCCAAGTCTAAATAATTTCTCACTGTTGCCTGTACAGGGGGATTCAAATGTCATGATTGCGTGGAAAATCCCATTTTGCTGGGCATTCTGCAAAACATGGTTAAACCTAAGGGGTAAAATACAGGTCTTGGTGATGTCAATGAAAATTCCACTTGATTGTGAGAAAAGTTTGTGTTTAAAATGCCTCCAGGTTGTGCTTTCCAATTAAAAAAAAAAAAAAAAAAAAGTGGTAAAAGAAGGGTCTGAGATGCTGTTGGAAACGGTTCCTGTTTCATGCAAGAACCATAGAAGAAAGATTCATACGTTAGAGCTGGAAAACAACTCAGTTTCCATTTGATGGTGAAATTTTCATGAACTGTTTCTGGGAATGTGAGGAGCTTGTTATTCACAGCCTACGCTGGGTTTGTCTGATACGGTTTTGAATGTCTCATCACACAGTTTCTAATCTGTGTGTGACACAAGCCATATTTTTTGAGCAGCATGAAAAAAGTAGAATAGTTTTCTACGTATTAGATTTCAAGTCCCTAGAAAATTGAGTCTAGTTCTAGTAAAGCCAAGAGGTGATATTTTTAAATAAAAGTAGTTGCTGCTGTTAAAATTTCCCTGCTAGACAGGGAATATAATCTTGTGAGACAGCACTGGAGTAACTTATTGAGGGACTTTCCTAGACAGGTATGTGACACTTTGAAATACACCCACAGTGAGGTTGATATTTGTGTAAATCTACCTGATAAGCCACCAGGCTCAGGTTCTCAAGCCTTAACTTTTTGCCAAGATGGAGATTGATTGGTCTCAACACCTACCAAAACCATTTTCCTCCCTCAAAACAGGCATTAAAGGCTGCCTGTTACTGAGCAAGCACAAGGACTGTTGCAGCTCGTTCACGCACCAGCCTGTGCTGTCTTGCACTTACCAGTGCCTTCTGGAATATGTGGTGGAGAAAGGGTCTTGTTATTTTTGTCTGGAACAGAAGAACAAGCCATAAAAACTTACTGCAAGGCACTAGGCAAAGGGCAACATTTCTTGCTCTCCTGTTTGTATATGTATATATGTGATTATATATATGCATATATGTGTGTATGCATGTGTATATATACAGAGAGTGAATGAGAATATTTATAGATTGGTTCAATGAATTTAAGTGGAGCTAAGAGTTTGTTAAAAGAAAATTAAAAGTCTGTATTCAAAGACCCCCCCTCTCTCAAACGTGTGTATTTGGAGTATCTGTGTAATTGCAAAGGCACCAAGCTTTGGAAACACTCCAAACTACAATTCCCATGAGGAGAACTACATCTTTTTGAGGATAAATAAATGCATTATTTGAACTAATAGAGGGATTTGATACAAAAGTGCAATTAAATTCTTGTGTATTCTTCCACAAGAAAAACCTATGTGTAATTAGCTTTCTTTAACTGTGTGGCCACAGTAATCAGTATTTAATATAAATGAGCATGTTTTGAACAAATGAATTGTTTTACTCGGAGAATCACGTGAACGCACATAGGTTTATATATATGCACACATGCATACATATTTATTTATTTATATATGTGTAAAATGTGTGTGCATTTAATTTAAAAATAGTGTTTTAATTTTTAGTAGGATTAGATTCCTCATGTTTCCATATGTAAAGGGATTCTTTCACCACAGAAAGTCCACTCTGAAACTCAAAGAGGGTGTGTGCTTCCAACAGTGTTTGGTGCAAATATGAGGTGAGACACCAGCAGTGGGAGCAGAGGAATGTTGCAACTGGGCAAATGGGTGTGACTGTTGAGAATCTCAACACATTGGTAGTTCAGCTGTCATTATTTGTTTTCCAAATGAGAGTTTGAAGAGGAAGGAGAAGTTAGTTTGACTCATACCTGTTTGTAGGGGGCTGTTTCTTAACCTGAATGGTTGCAGTAGGGAAAGCAGAAATTTACATTAAAAATGGGTGAAAAATTCCAGGATCATGGATGAAGTGAAAGCAGGATCTGACTTTTTGACTGAGGATAGGTAGGGACCGTAAGTGTCACATAAGATTAGCAAAGGAAGGGACTTGAGAGAGATGAGGCAGGTGGAACTGAGCAAACCCAGAGAGTTTAGGATCGAGGAACAAAGTAGAACTGAGGACAGAAAGAGAAGACCTGCTGAGAGAAAGGGGACAGAGTGTTGCATTGCACTTAGTTCACTTTTAATTCAGAGGATTTCATGTGGAAAATTAAAATATGCAAGGTTATGGCTAATCTCGTACTGAAAATCCACTCTCTTTTTTAGGGGTGTCTGATAGGGGAATCCTCACATTTTTTTGGTCAGTTTGCAGGAGGTGGTACATGTGGCAAGTGAGAAAGCAGTGTAATCCCAGCAGCTGGGCAGTGCAGCAAACCCTGGAGCCACTTGTATGTGAGAATGCAGATGCTTCTGGCTTCCAAAGCAGTTAGCCCTGCCAGCCTGACTTCTCCTGGCACCTCTCCATCCCAGCTGTGGAGAGACCTCCTTCAGAAAGGACACAGCTCCTCGCAGTCCTGCAGCTTTTCCCACAGAAGGTGATTTATGATCCCCTATTCCATGAGAGCACACCACCTGTGTAAGGGAACTGGATTAAGAGCTTGTGCTTGCCCCTCACTGCTTCTGGGCATTTGCTTGGGGTGGGGGGGCAGAGGCATAGTGCACCTCTGAGGAGAAAATGGATGCCCACATCTTCTGGCCTGATCGATCACAGTGGGGCTTGTTATTCGGCCATGAGAAGCTTTTATTTTTAGTAGATATGTGCGTTGTTACATCACAATATTTTACTGGCTTACAAAGATGGCTTACAAATATTGTGTATGACATGCAATAGTTTCAGCTCAGAGCAATTTGAAGCACAGACTGAAGAGGTGTGTAAGTTGGGAACCACTGCTAAGGGAAGAAAGCTGTTCTGTTTGAGTTCTCCCCAGCCCCCCTGCCAAGGGCAGGGACACCTTTCACTAGACCAGGTTGCTCAAAGTTCCATGAAACCCAGCCCTTGAACACTTCCAGGGATGGGTCATCCACAGCTTCTCTTGGCAACCTGTTCCAGTGTCTCACCACCCTCATGTAAAGAACTTTGTCTTAATATCTCATCTAAACCTGCCTTCTTTCAGTTTGAAGACATTCCCCCTCTGTCACTACAGGCTCTTGTCAAAATAGGCCCTTGTCAAAAGTCCCCCTCCAGCTGCCCTGGAGGCTTCAGGTACCTAGATTTTCAGTGCTCTAAGGTGTCCCAGGATCCTTCTCCAGGCTGAACAATCCCAAAGCTCTCATCCTGTCTTCAGAGGAAAGGTGCTCCACAACCTGGAGTATCTCAGTGGCCCTCTTCTGGACTTCCTCCAACAGGTCCATGTTATTCCTGCACTGGAGACCCGAGATGCAGTGTTCCAGGTGGGATTGCACTGAAGTTGAATATAGGGACAAAATCATCTCCCTTGACCTGCTGGTCATGCTACTTTTGACGCAGCCCAGGATATTCTTCATTTGCAGACAGTATATACTATATCCTATATCTCTGCATGTACTACCTATGGTTGTGTGTCCACAAAGTGTACTCTCTGCCCTCAGACAAAAGTGCAATCTTCTCTTAGAAGACAGTACAGCACCAATAGGCTGCAGAAAAGCAAGAATTACCTGCATACTGTGCAGTTACAGTGCTGCACAGAGCACCTTCCATCCCAGTGTGCTGTCCTGTGCTTCCCATTCACCGCCACCACCCGGCTTGCGAAAGGCGCCACATTCCTACGCGGCAGCAGACGCGTGGGGGAAGCACAGCCCCATCTGGCACCGGCTTCTTAAAATCGTGGGCGTATTTTTAACACCGAGCAGAGGTTCCGACTCCCTCTTTTGGCGGAGGCCCGGAGGCACCATCCCGGGGGCTGGCAGTGCGCCCCGGGGCTCCCTCCGCCTCGGGTACCCCAGCCGGGGCTGCGGAGCCGCGGGCAGGGCAGGAGCCGCGGCCGGGCGGAGCCGGTGGAGCAGTCTTGAGAAGACAGACAGGTGCTGCGCTTGTGGACATGGTTTAGTGGTGGCTTTGGCAGTGCTGGGTTAATGGCTGGTCCCAGTTGTTTCAGAGGTATTTTCTGACCTAAACGATTCTGTGCTTCTGTGTTTTTGTGATTCCAAGGGGTCAAAGCGTGGCAGCGGGCGGTAGCTGCTGGGCTAGAATCATGCGAGGAGCTTGGACTGAACAGGTGAATGGCAAAGTGTAAGAAAACTGTTCCTCTAGACAAAATGCTGTCTGTGTTTTCTCTTCAGTTTTAGAGAAATGCTCCTTTTTCAAGCAGACAGGGATCACCTGCAGCTGGGCAAGCTAATTTGGGCAAGAGAGGGTTCTTTAGAGTTCTCCTTTGCCCTGATTCCTCTTGACCACTCTGCCCAAGTCCCTTCCTTCTCCGTCTTGTGGATGTTCCCTCAGCTCCAGCTAATTGCCTGCTGTCCCCAGACTGGTACTTTCAAAAGCAAAGTAGCCGAGGCAGGTATCCATCCAGAGGAGAAAGGCCAGATCACTCCTGCATTTTGCAGCACTATACCCAACTCTTCAGATATTTCCTACTCCAAAGGCTCCTACTGGTGGCAAGAGGTGGAGGTACCTTTCTTAATAAAGTACTTCTGAGAAAAAAAGACTCCAATAAGGAGCAAATGATTATGTTTATACTCCACCTTTTCCTGAGAAGGCTTGGTCATAGATTGGCTTTTTCTCAGCTGTGGACTGCAGCTTGGCAAAACATCTCAATGTCTTGATCTTGAGAAGGAGTTGGCCATTGCTGCAGACCCCTGCTCTGGTGCTCACATGGAAACCAATAGCTACGAACCACTGGCAATCCCCAACACAGTCCTGCAGAATTTGAGTTACAAAGATGGCAGAGCCAAGCTCTTCATAGCATGAGTAGGTGATGTTAGGGGCAACAGCCACCACCTGTGGGTGGGGAGGTTCAGACATGACAGTGGGAAAAATGTTTTTATCCAGAGGGCAATGCAGAGTGGGAACTGTCACCTCAGCAAGGGGACCCACCTTGCCTGAAGTTTCTAAGCCTTGTTTGCATGATATGTCCATGTCTGAACATGACATGTCTGAAGCCATGTCCAACCTGACATTGTGCCAGCATGGTCCTGCTTTGGGTGGCCTGTTGGGTGAGGTGATGCAGAGATTCCCTTCCAGCCATCACTTCCCAGACATATTAATAGGGCAATGTAACTGTACAGCAACTACCAACCTAGCCAGACTCCTTCAAGGGTGTTCAGAGCACTGATATCCTCCCAGCTCTTTCTTGTCCATTGTAATATGCTTTGCAGGACAAAGGCCCTCTGCAGGTCAGCACTAAGGTTGAACCTGCTTTGAGGAGGGCTCAGCCTCCAGAAAAGACCTACTGGAGTCAGTTTCCCACCTGAGTTATTTTAGACATCCCTCTTTGTCAGCCTTCAGCATACCTTCAGCCTTCAGACCCATACCTATAAGTAAAACCATGACTGTCCAAAAGCTTGTTCATGTGCATTTAAAATAATAAAGGGCTGTATGTGACTATTACTAACTTTCTAGGCATAAAAAAAGGTTATAACCTTAAAGAATTATTTGTATTAATCAAAACTGTCTGTTCATGAAAACTTTTCAGGTATACTTTCCTTATAAGCAGGTTTTTTCCTTTTCAGGTCTCTGTGTGTGTCTGTCCCTTCCAACTTCAAACAAAAGGCTAGACATGCCAGGAACAGTGAAATCCTCTGTGTGGTTTCTTTTATCATAGTCTAGTGATTTCAGCAAAGAGCTGAGGAGGCTTCTGCCAACGTTTGCCTCATCTGAGAGGCACAAACCTCAGCAGGATCCTGATGTCCCAGGGCTCCTTCTCTTGCTGTGGCAATAATCACAAGCAACCTCCCTTAGCAGGGCTCTCAGATTCCTCAGGGCACCAGCTTCAAGGTCGGTCAAGGTCACAAAAGGCCACCCTCATTTCTTGTCCCTATTTCTCTACTCCCTTCAAATTAAGGAGTAATGGGAAGGTTTGTCCCATGAGTACATCCAGGGCTGGTTTGCAGCCTTAGAGCTGGGCTGGGATCCAGGCCATCCCTATGATCCCCTTCCTATCAGTGGGTCCCAGGGTGACCACAGTATGGTCAGGTGTGATGAAGGGCCCCCTGGAGAAGAAGCAGTCGACCAAATGATGAATGTAGGCAGCAGCACATCCAGGAGCTCTAAAAATTCACATCCTCACACCTCTTCCTTAGGAGAGGACTTTTCCAGCATCTCCCACATACCCCACACTTACTGCTTGCCCCATGCAGAGCCCTGGTGCAGGAGCGGGATGCTGGGCAGGCAGACAACAGTGCTGCTGATTGTCAGTGTGGAGAAGGAACTACAGGCCATCTTCTACAAGCAAATAACATCCCAGACTTTTCCTGGAGCGCCCTGAGTTCATCTCCTCCGTGCTGTCCGCCCTGAAGCCTGCAGGGATGCTGCTGTACTGCTCCAGGGGCAGTGCAGGGGAAGGGGACAGAGGGACATCCATGGTGGTTACCAGCACACCTCAGCCCCACAGGGGGTGCGGACAGGCACAGGAGAGAGGTGCAGTGCAGCACTGGGAAACCTTCAGCTGGGTTTGCCAGACAGAGCAGCTGCAGGAGCTGCCTCCTCTGGGGCTGGGATGAAAAGGTGCCTCTCCGTGCTCCAGGCTGGCAGGTGCAGCAGCGCTGAGCACAGAGCCAGGCATGCAGAGCCAGGCAGGGCTTTGTCCCGGATGGGTTGGCTTTGAGAGAGCCCCTGGCTCCAGGCAGGGAAGCGATGGAGCCTGTTGAAGGTGCTGGTCCTGCAGCTCAACTCCACCTCCTGCCATCAAGGATGGTCCATAAGTCACAGGCCAGGGCAAAAGGGAGGGGCTAGTGCTGCTAGACGGAGCTGGAGCCCGGTGGCTGGCTGTTGCTGTTGCTCTCCGATGGGGTCTTGGCAGTGGAGGAGGTGGCCAGGGAGCCGCTGTTCCTGAAGATGCGGAGCAGCCTCCGCTTGTAGCCCCGGAAGGCGAAGAAGTAGATGATGGGATCGATGCAGCAGTTGAGGTTCATGAATGCCACAGTGACTTGCAGGGACATCTTGAAGGCTTGCTGCTCACGGCAGGATGGCTGGTAGAGAATCTTCCTGACCATGAATTGGACAATGTTGAGGTGGTAGGGACTGAAGCAGAGCAGGACAGCCAGCAGAACCACCAGGATGACAGTGAAGGCCCTGTGGTGGTGCCCATTCCTCACTGTCAGCGGGTTCTCCTTGGCTGTCTGGCAGAGCTTGAGGTTGATCCTCACATAGCACACCAAGATGATGCCCACAGGCAGGAAGAAGCCAAGCATGCAGGCCACCAGGAGCAGGTAGGGCAGATTGGGAATCTCCTCGAAGTTGAAGTACTCCATGCATGTCAGCTTGTCTCCCATCCTTCGTGTCATGGGCCGCAGGAGCAGCGGAGCCGTCTGCAGGAACACCAAGGACCAGACGAGGACACAGATGCCCCTGGCACGGCTCATCTTCCGAATCCTGCCAGGGTGCCTGGTGCGCACCACGGCAACGTAGCGGTCCACGCTCACACAGGTCATGAAGTAGATGCTCACGTAGGTGTTCATGTAGAAAATGAAAGCTGTAATCCGACAGAACCAGTCCCCAAAGGGCCAGTCAGACTCCAGGATGTAGTAGGCGATCCTGCCGGGCAGTGCCAGGGTGAAGAGGGCATCGGAGAGGGCCAGGTTCACCAGATAGAGGTCAGTGGAGTTCAGTTTCTTCTTCCTGCGCTGGAAGGTGATACAGAGGGCCAGGACATTCCCACAGGCACCGAACACCAGCAGGATAATGTAGAAAAGGGAGAAGGTGACTTTGGTTGAGAAGTGGTGATTGTGCACATTGCAGCTGCTCTGGTTGCTGGAGGTGAGGTTGGTGGGCAGAAACACGTTCTCCACAAGAGCCATTTTCATGGTGCCTCACGAGCTCTTGCTCTCTCCCTTGGAATAAGAATAGACATGAAACTTGCAGCTTATTGATAACAGGAGCGGCACCCTTAGAACTGGCCCTCATCACTAAGCAAAAGTCCTGTCCCCTACTCCAGCCACCCCCTCCTAGCAGCATACAGCTCAAGTCATTTGGAAAAATGCTTCTTTTGTGATTTTGGTGAGAGCATCTCAAGAGTGGCTGTGACTCATTCTCCTTTTCTTATCACGAGCTACTCTTAATTTTGTTTTTTCACAAGTCCAATCAATATGAGAAAGGACTGGAGGTGCTGGGAGGGGGAATTGCCTGTCACACAAAGAAGGTCCCAAACTCATATGGTGTCAATGATATCATTTACTCACTGCGAGGGGAATGCAGAGCTTCATTGAGAAAATGCCCAAAAAATGGAGGGGCCGGGACTGGGAGGGCTGGGGGGCCGGCGGGCAGAAGTGCTGAGGAGCACTTTCCTAACCCTCAGGCGGGACCAAAGCAGCAACAAAACTGAAGAAATTCAAAGGGAGGAAAAAACCAACCCTTCACAAAAAAAACCCCCAACCTTCCCCAAAACTCCCGTGACCCATGTTCGTCCGATCAGGGAGCTGAGAACACTCCAGCACCGAACCCCCGCTCCCCGCACGCTGTGCCGCCGCTCGCCCCGCTTTGGGCACGGTGTCCGCGCTCATGCCTGGTGACAGCGGTGTCCCCTCGGCTGCGGGGCTGCAGCAGCTCCCGGGACGCGGGTCCCGCACGCCGCTCACCTCCCGCCGCCGCTTCCCGCCGGGCTCCGCTCCGAGCGCCGGGACGGGACGGGACGGGACGGGACGGGCCGGGACGGGACGGGACGGGCCGGGCCGGGACGGGACGGGACGGGACGGGCGCAGCGCTGCCTCCCGTCCCCGGCGGCGCGGACCCCGAAGGGCTGGGATGGTCAAAGCCACAAGCACGAAAGGGAGGTCAGGGGCTCCAACCTGAGTGCGGCGGTGCCGCCGCCTTCTTCTCTTCCTCCTCTTCCTCCTCCTCCTCCTCCTCCTCCCGCCCGACTTTTGGGGGGCGGCGAGCGCGAAGCCTCCTGCCCGCGTCCGGCACTCGGGCTCCCCGGCCGTGTGAGCGCCTCCCGGGATTCGCTCACATTATAAAAGCACTGTGAGACTTGGGGTTTTTTTGTTTGTTGTTTTTTTGTTGGGTTTTTTTTTTCCTTAGGGTTAGTAAAACTGTGTTTTTTCTGGGTGGGGCTTTTTTTTTTTTTTTTTTCTTTCGGTATGTGAGAAGCACACTGCCGCCGCGGGGGATATTCTCAGTAGCGGCGGTACTGGAGAAGATAAATGACTGTACCTGCGCGGCAATCGCTCCCGACATCTGAGCCGACTTCGGGTTTTACTCTGAAAACTTCTACAAGGATGCAAAATGCAACTGAGCGATGAAAACAACTTCAGCTCTGGTTCACGTGCGGTCCAGGGTGCTCAGCCCGAGCACAAGCACATGGCCACGGCAGCACGATCGGACCACGGCAGCTTTTACAATAAAGTTGTGGCAAATTTTCAAAGGAGCTTATTGTGCTTGTGGCCAGTGCAAGCCATGCTGTGCCTGTGGTGAAACCCAGATTTGCCTTTCACGCACACATAGAGACATCACCGGGCATGGCTCCTTAGGGCAGAGACTGAGTTCAATGAAACAATTTGCCCTTAGTGGAAAAATATTTTTGTTATTAAGATGATATATTGTGTGGTGAAAGTGGGGCAAAGCCCCTTGACCTAGCTGGAACTCTCACGGCGGGCTCAGTCCCCACAGAGTGCTGAGCAGTGGAGGGCTGTGATTTATCCCTCAGCCCTGTATGTGTGTGTCTTACAGCATAGAGAGAGTACTTTCCTTCCCAGCACTTCCCAAAATGTTTGCAGAAGCGCAGCCTGCCCTGTGACCAGCAGGATGGCCTTCCCCATGGTTTCCCCATGGCTTTTTTACTGGAGACCACTAGGGTTTTCAAATCCCAAGAGGAATTTTTAAGCTTTTTTTAATGGTTCTAGGGTTTGGGGTTTTTTTTGTGGTGGTGGTGATGATCTTGCTGGTGTCTGGTTTTATGCCTCAAAAAAAAAATCCTAATAAACCAGGAAATTCCCATCACAGGGCATTTGGGATGCTACTGAAAAACTGAAGCCAATAAATACAAAAGTTAAGATTACAGTTAAGCTGAACTTCCATATTTCCCTCTGGGTCAGTAAAGCTCAACTAATTATTTAATTGCATAATATTTCTAATGTTTTAAAACAGTGACATTAAACTCAGTACTAATCTGTGTACTCATGTACTGTGAGTCATCTGTATAGAAATTACACATTATTGTCATGAATTTACTAGAAGTTGAAGGTACCTAGCAAGACTAATAGTGAAAATTGGCTAACAAGCATCTGTTAATGAAGATACTTTTGTTGCTCGAGGGTTTATATTACAGGGAAGGAAAGGTCAGCTAATAACAGAATAGCTACTGAGTAAACTATTACAAATATTCCCTAGTAAAATAGGGGTATTCTACTTGTACATCTGTCAAGAGTTAAGCTAATCAGACTTCTGTGGGGTTCAAATGTTCTTGAGCTGTTTCATCGTGATGGTGAAAACAGCCAATGGATTTAACATTAGAGAAGTATTATGTCTACAGAAATCCTGAGCCCACACCAGCGACTGGATCCAGGACTATCCCTTCTTCTCCCTAAAGCGCTGCACGACTAACAGCTGCAGCTGAAACAAATTCCAGCCTCATCGATTCGGGGCTTGCTGTGGCACTGATGGTGCAGAGCTCCTGCCTGCCTTCATTACAGTCTCCCACCTGAGAGTTTTATCTCCATCGTCGAGGAAATAAATTTGGATGAATCTCAGCAAAATGCCATTGGCTTCCACCCAGGGGCCCACAGCGCCTCGGACCAGTTGGAATCACCAGTGCTTGGCAGGGATGGACGGGGAGGTTAGTGATGCAAATTCATGGCCGGGACTTTTCCGAGCAGTCAAACAGGACCTTTGTACAGCCCCTCCCGTCCCCTGGGCTCTGTGCTCACACAGGCACTGAAAAGAGAGCTGCAGATCCCACAAGAGGAATCCCACCTGCCTGGGGATGGAGGACTTCTCATGGAGCCCACGGGAGCGGGGAAGTGCTGGCACTGTGTCAAAGGGGGCCTGGATAAAGGAGGGTCAGCGGGGTCCCAGCCCCTGCACAAGGAGGGAGATGACCCAAGTGGCATCACCGGCCTCAAAAACAGATGGAAGAGCCCAAAGTTCTGGGTGACAGCTGTGTCCAGGGTGACAACTGTGCCCATTGCCTTGGGAATAAGACAGAGGGAAAGCAATGCTCTCCACCTGATTTTATTTTTCTTTTTGCAGTGCAGAACAAAGGAAGTGGGTTCTTCTTTTGTGCAAAACACGCTCCTGCCCTGTGTGCAGCAGGTGCTGCGCTACAGGAGTGCAGCCCAGCTCCACCCGTTTGCACGGCTCCAGCAAGCCCAGCACGGCTGCACCACTCCACACTGCACAGCAGCAAGGCCCTTTCAGATGGGACAAGGGACTGAGGGCATCCTCTTCCCACCTGTGGGGATCTGCTCCCTGCCTCTGCAACACTGGATGAGCTGAAACGAGATCTCCCCTCAGACAGGGTAGGGAAGCCCTGTCCACCCCAGTTTGCAGCCATCTCATTTAATCTCTTAAATTAAGGGCAGTGTCTCTACTGCCCTTGACTGAGCCCAGTGGAATGTAGCATGGCATTTGAGGAGTGAGGTTCAGCTTCAAAGCTGGGTCTAGGCTTTCTTCTGTTGTGTCCATGTTTGCATAATGACACTTCCTTGGGCCTGGCAGGGAGCAAGCAGAGTTCCACAGCCCAGGTATCCATCCCAGGGTGAGCAGGACCTGGTGTCCCAGGGTGTCCCTGCTGCCAGGGATGCAGCCAGAGCACAGGGGACACCTTCTGGGGGAGTCCTGTGCAGACACTTGGCATGGAGTGTCTCTCTCCTGAAATGTGCATCATGGTCCTTAACCATGGCATGTCTCCAGCCGGGTCCCTGCCTGGCAGGTACCACATGCTACTTCCAGAGCCAAATGTTGGATATTTCAGAACACCTCAGAGTCACTGTGGTTCTTCTCACATCATCCTCAGAGCACACCGCTCTCGGCCATCATGAAGGCTCTCTGCAGCCTCCTTTTGCTGCTGGAGACCTTGCCATGGATGTTGCTTCCCAGCCCAGCAGAAAAGCCAGGCTGCAGCTCCTCTGGGATCAGGCCCTTGAGGCCATCAGCTGAGCCCAGCTGTGATGTGGCTGCAGCAACAAGGAAAGCTCAGAAGGAGCCGGGCCTGCAGACACGTGCTGGGAGATCCATCACTGCGCTTCCTCCAGGGCTTCTTCTTCGGGTGCAAAGCCATCTCAGGTAGTTGTTTACATCTGCTGGGATTTCCCAGAGTTGAGAGATGATTTGGAGCTGGACTTTCTGAGGGCAAGGCAGCATAACAAATGAGGTAACAGCCCCTTCACAGAGAGACAGCAGGAAGTTTGTGCCTCCTCTTTCCATTGTATCATCATTGCCTCTCCCTTTTTGCTTTCCCCATTGGCTTTGGTTAAATTTTCTCTCTTCTAGTGCAAAACATTTCCAGGAAGTTTTGAGTGTAGACACAAAAAAATCTCCGGGAGATTTCAGTTTTGAAGAAACAGGCAGGGATTTTCCACAGCTCAGCCCCTGCATCCCAGGTCACTATTACTCATCTGGCAGTAGAACAGAAATGAGGAGAATCCCTGATTTTGACATTCATCTGTCCATTCAGTAACAGCATCTGTGTGGGGAGGACAATATTTTAGAGGCTTCAACTTCATATGATGGGAATTGTAGAGGAATAAAAATCTGAAGGTTCCTACCAATTTGTGATAAAAATCTGAAGAAAACACTTGCTGGAGTTTTGATATGTTTGAAACCTAATCTGGCTCTAAATCTAAGAGGGAAATACTGAATAACAAAGCAGCTGAAATCTGCTTCTGCATGATA